TTGCTGAACAAATTAATATCGAAGAAATTGAACCACCATATACAAATGAAAATTCATCATTAAAAACTAATGATAATGATGATGATGAAGCAATTGATCCATCATATGCAATGGATTATATAGCTGATATAATGAATTTATTATATACATTAGAAAAAAAACATCCGATTCAATCAACATTTTTAACTAATCCAACATTACCAATAACAACATTAGCAAATGGAAGTGCAATACGATCATGGAAGCTAACAGTTAAACATCGTATTATTGTTGTTGGATGGGTTATACAATTATTTTATTCAAGATTTCATTTATCACAAGATGCTATGCATATGTAATTTTTATTTAAATTTAATCTATATATAAAGTATTCTTTTGTTTTTAGTTGTATCGGTTTACTTGATCGATTCCTTCAACAATGTTTAATGTCTACCAATGGAGATAAAGGTTTTGTAACACAAAAAAATTTACAATTAATTGCTGTGGCAACATTTCTTATTGCAACAAAAGTTGAAGTATGTTAAAATGTTCTATTTGATTTTAAAATTGTATCTGTAATGAATATACGAAAGGTGCGCACAAGTGTGTTAGTGAGGATCTAGAGATAAAACGAACCCTTTCAACCTGACCATCGTCTGTGCCTTTCGGAATCCCAACTGTACTATATAATTGTATGCATTCTTGAGGGTGTGGATGTGGGTCGGTGTGGATGTTCTCATTGTCTACACCCGCATCCACACCCACACCCACACACACACCTACATCTACACACTCAGCCACACCCTTACTCTCAAGCTCTAGTTTAGTATTTTAACAAGTGAAATCATATGATAATGTTTATTTCATTAGGAAACTCATCATCCACCAGTAGATGAACTTGTTTATGTTACTGATCATGCATATACAAGTGAGCAAGTCAAAAGAATGGAAAAGAAAATTCTACATGAATTACATTTTGAACTTAATCGACCAACAAGGTAAACTCTCCTTTTTTTTGTCTTAATATATGTTTAATCTAATACAAATGATTTATTCTTGTATACTAGTCTTCAATTTCTCCGTCGTTTTTCATTTATTTCAAGTTGTAATGATGAACAACATGCTATTGGAAAATTTCTTATAGATATGTCATTACTTGATGTATTTTGTCTTGATTTATCTCCGTCACTTATAGCTGCTAGTGCAACATATATTGCACGTTATATTATTAATCAAAATCAACCATCAACATTTGAATATTGTTGGCCTAATGATTTACAAATTCGTTCACCATATAAAACAATTCAATCTTTATCTCATGGTATTCGAATATTAGCACAATGTATTGATAATTATTTATCGGGAAATAGTTCCAAAGAATATGAAATACTTATTAAACGTTATGAACATGAACAATTATCAAAAGCTAGTACTTATTGTAGACAACAACGAACACTTATTCATCAATTAGCAAATGACCTATTAGAAAACTAATGTTTTTTTTTTATATATATATTCTTTATTTGTTCTGTTTGTGATCTGATCATCGTTAATGATGATACTGATATTTTTTTTCTGTGCAATCGAATGAGATTGATATATATATGATCTGTTTACTTTTTACAATCATTATATATATCTTATTTTGTCTTAATATTGAATTGTATCAGATTATTTTTCTTATTTACTCGTATATTAGCCTTTTTTCCTTCATTTTTTCTCTTAAATCGAATAGAATAAATAAATATGTCAAATTAAAACAAAATCATAATAAACATTTGATCAAATTTCAATATTCAGATGTTACATAGAAGGATTTATAGATATGATTTTCGATTATATATAATGTAATTCAATAAGATCAATTTTTATTTGTACCCATGAAAACTTTATTGTTTATTCAGTTATAAATATCATCAAATAGGATAACATGTTTTATAAAGTAACAATCGTTAAGAAAACTATGTTATATTAATATATATATGAATGATTGATTTTTAACGACAATATTTTACTATTTAATGAATAATTAAGTATATGATGCGAAAGTTACCACGCTACATGTATCAATTCAAATAATCCCAGCTGGATCGAGCTAAAAAAATGTTTGAATTGTGATTGATATTTTTTTTAAATCTCAAAAGAAGATATTATACAATATAGATAGTTTAGAGAGCTTTTTATATAATTATCAATTTCATTGCAGCTCGATATAAGGCAATTTTCCAAACGAAGTGAATCTAATACGAATTTGATATATGAAATAACTTTCTGCATGATTTCATTAATTCGCATTTCAAAAGATCTAATAACTTATATTACATCATAGTCTTACATAAAAATTTTGTTACTAGATTCATATATCTATTTAGCTAGAAAATAATCAAATTGATAACTAATAACGATAATGAACATGCAGAAAAGCTAGTTTATTCGAATATTGATAACTAAGTAATTAGCACAGGATATAAATACTACGAAATCTCTAAGTAGAAAAACGAAAAGTACAAAATAATGAAGTATATATGTAGATATATAAGTTCATGTATGTTTAACTAATTGATGGTAAAACTGTATCGTTTATGTAAACATAGACGATAGAAGGAATTAGATAGAATAGGACAAATTATTTTCTTAGAAGCATCCAATCGATGAACGAAACAAACAAATAGTTGACCATGAAAAATATAGGTGGTCTTGAGAAAAGATATAGTTCTGTTGATAGAAAATTAATCGAGACACGACTTGATCTTCGATGCATACTTATTCGATAATTGAAATCATTCTAGCACTAAATATTCATTGTGTTTTGCTTCAAGGCACTGACTGACTGACTACTATTATCATGATCGATTTTTCTATCTACGTGAATGACGATATACAAGTAGCTTTAGAGAATCTACTATATAATTAATATTATTTTGCACATAATTTTAGATTCTGTATAAACTATTTAATAATCCTTATTCGTCGAAAATATAAGTTCTTTTATTCCTTGCGGTAAATTAAATAGATACAAAACAAAAGTTATCTAATAAAATAATTTGTAAACTCAAAAAAGCAAAAAAGGTGTTACATTAATATGAGACACATTTTTTCTACAAATACGGCGACGGTATATACCTGTCAAAATTTTCACCTATGTAAAAAACGACTCACTTGAGAAATCAACATATTCTCGATTGACTACCTTCAATAAATGGTTAAAACTGTTGATTGAATTGTATACAATCATATCATTTTTTTCTTTTTGTTTTAACGGAAATCTATATCGCAATTAATTTTATGATAATATTTCCTAACTTTAACCTAACTTAATATGTTATGCGACTCAAGAATTTCAAAAATATCTTACCCTATAACTTTGCTTCCTGTCTCTCTCTCTGTACATATAGATATATATTTTCTCGAGTAGTAAAATTCTTGTCTTATTATATATGAAGTCATTTTCTTTCAATTAATTCTATCAGCTTGTTATCATTTGCAAATCCTAATTGAATCAATTCTATCCTCTTCTATTAGAGAAAAAAAAATGATAATGAAAATGACAAACCGTTTTTCCGCTTAGTGATTTATTAACGACGAAAGAGACGAGAAGACGAGACATAAACATCAATTGCAAAAAATAACAACAGAAAAATGAGAAAAAGACTAATTTTTTTCCTCTCATATTCTTCATGTATATATATATAAGCAGTCTAAAGAAAATCAGACGTTCATACTAAATGTGCATTCAGGAAATAAATCAAACATTGACTAATTAGTTCTTTCTTCTCACATTATATCTGACAGTATTATGTTACAATGACATTTTTACACAAAAGACATATTCAATACTGAACATTGAAGCATTTATTGATTATGTCTAACAAATTAACAAGGTCAGTTTTTGTAGCCTATCGACATTGACCAGGATTCAATTTACTCAATAAATAAATCATCATCGTCGTCGTCTTTATCGATAGTGTAACATCATATAAACTATCGTTCTCTTTCTCCATAGATAAAACATTCACTAACTTTCTAAACGTTTATCACTTAGACATCTTTCATTATATAGAATGTAATTGTCGATTGATTCACACAGTTTTATTTATCTGTATATGTTTGAGAACAAAGATAACTGTTACAGTTACTAGAAAAAAAAGATATTCAATGAATATAATCATCATCATCATCAATACCTTTCTCTCTTTCTCTCTCTTTTCCCACTTACATTACTCGTCCTTGTCGTTACGCGTACAAAGAGTTAAGAACAATTCATTTCATTTCCTTTACTATTAGAAATGAAAAAAATGAGTATGTTAAATAAACAGTTAGAAACTAATCGAATATATTTATATGAAAGATATTTACCTTTTTAATCATTATTATCGATAGATCAATGAATATTTTAATTAATAATGATACCAATAACAATTTATAAATGAAACAAAAGTATACAAATCCTCTGATCATCATTTATTTTATTTATCAATTCTGGATGTTCACTCAAGGTAACTAACTTTGTATATTTAAAAAAAAATTAATCTTTTAAATATTAGGAACTTCATTAACTTCATCATTTGCTCATAATTTACGTAATTTAACTATTATATATAAACCTAATGCATTTATCTACCATTTTTGTCAAACATCCAATTCAATTAATGCTAAACGTATACGTTGGCATTATGAATCTTTTCATGATTCCAATAATGAATCAAATACACATTGTAAACATTTATTTAATAATTCTGATTGTTTTGATTTTTATTATGGACCATCGACAAGTGTATTAGTTGTTAAAGAACCTGATATGTTTATTGGTCAATATACATGTCATATTAATATAAATTCTACATACAAAGTAAATTCTATTGCATGGATTGATGTTAAATTACCTTCATATGATAAAAATGCAAATGATGAATATATAGAAATGTATAATGAAAGTGAATTAGGAAAATTAGCTAATTATCATAATGTACCATTTATACTTGATGAAAATGATTTAACATCATTCGGTAAACGGGTACAAATAGGTGGAATATTTCATACAAAATGTATGTCAACCGAAACTTCTTATCCAATTAGTTTTACATGGATACAATTAAAAAGTGCATTGAAGGGAATAAAAACAATGCGATTTATTCATAATGATGAATATAAAATTAAAATTATAAATAAAAAATATTCAAGTAAGTTTGCTTCATTTTTATATTTATTTAATTGCTATTTACCCAAAGAATTAATTAAACAATTCTAAAACAAAAATAAGATCTTTTATATAATTTAGAAAATTATTTCTATAGAAATACGATTAAATTTTATTCTTAAAATATTATTATCTTGCATTACATAATTTCTATTACTATATTTTGTATATTTTTTTCAAATAAAAGTTTAATGTAACTTGATCTATAGACTTCCAACTGTTTCCTCCTCTTATATTCTTCGCTAGATGCGATTTCATTTAGTTAATTATTTCCTGTTCTTTTTATGAAAAGCATGAAAAAATAAAAATGCTTCATAGATAATAAGAAAAATTGTATATTAAATACTTAATTCATGTCTATATACTCAAAGATTTGTAAAGCATGATGATAACAGGATGTTTACTCGAAAATACATGTTTAAATATAGGCGATGATATTAATACCTACTGGTTTAATAACTATTACGCATCAACAGACTACGTTATATTTTGTGATCAAATATTTAAATATTTTTTTTTCAAATAGAATATTAATCTAAAACAATTAAAATAAAATATAATAACATGATCTAGATTACTATGTCTTCTACATAAGTTGAATCTCGTTATCTATAAACTGAAACGTTTGAACTTAATCATTTGCACTGATTTTCAAAAATTGTAAAATTAGAATTACTCTATAAAAAATTCAACAATAATTGCATAGATTTAAAATACTGAATTTGCTTTTGTCTTAAATATAAATCAAAGTTTATCAATTTTTCTTTCTCAGGTTCTTTGTATATCTATTCCGTCGATTTTTTCGATCATGGCGATTATATTTGTATTGCTTCAAATATTCTTGGTCGATCATTTTCTAGTATACGTTCATTAATTGTTTCCGGTAAGAATTGAAAAAACAAACTGAATGAAATTATAATGTAGAATTATATTTTTGTTGCATGTATATAAATATTGCTAGTATTTAGAACGAATGGTTTTACCGCATATACATGGTAATCTACTAAATAATAGTTATTTTGATCTTCAACATAGTGATACGAAAACACTTACTTGTATTGCTGATGGTTATCCTAATCCAGATGTTGCTTGGATTCGAGGTTTCTTGTTTTTTTTCTTATAATAGATTTTTTCTCAAAATCTTTATTTATTTGATTTTCTATCTCAGTATCTGATTCAATATCTCTTGCTCGAAGTCAATCATATGCTACTCTAAAATTTATTAATGAAATGCATGGTGTGAATAAATACATGTGTGAAGCAAGAAATAAGCATGGTTTTACAGTCATTTTGATTTCTGTTATTATACCAGGTTTGATATAATAATGCATCTACATATATATATTATTTTTGAATTTAATTTTTCTTTAGATATTAATATACAACCAGTGTTGGATTATACTGATGTACAAAGTCGAAATGTAAATTTAATATGGCATATATTAAATGAAAATACTAATCGATATAATCATTTTATTGTTTATTATCGTACTTTAAATTATTTTCATGAGAATATTAATGAACATGAAGAAATTATTAATATAGAAAATTATAAACAAATTCTTGTTGATTTATATACAAAAGATCTTAAATTTGCATTTCGAGTAAAAAAATAAATTAATAATTATTGTTTCTTGATTTGATTATATAGGTCATAAATCTTATTCCATTTACAAATTATGAATTTCGTGTTAAAGGTTTTAATGGTGTTGTTGCATCAAATTATTCAAATCCAATTTTTATTAAAACACTTGAAAGTTTACCACAAAAAATCGAAAATCTTCATGGTTATGTATGGAATAAAACATCTGTTTATGTTCATTGGACACCACCAAATTCAACAAATGGACCTAATTTTGTAAGAATGAGATTTACTCAGGGGTGTCGGAAGTGTGAACCCCCCCCCCTTCAATCTTTCGAAATTTCTATTTTTTGCTCAACAAAATCGGCAAATCTTCTCAGGTTTTTTACCAAAGATAATGCCACACCCTCTCCCCCCAAAAAATCACGACATTCATCTTTTTACTCCAAGAAATTTTGCTACACCCCCCCCCTGGATTTACTAGATATGTAATAGAAATGATGACATGAAAGAAAATCCAACTTGTCAATAGAGAAAAAAAAGGGATCAAATGTTCATTGTTCAATTTCTTTGCAGACATATCAAGATTTTTCTTTCTGATAATTCATATTCTATTTTAATCATAAATCCAATGAGATATAAAGTCACATCATTATATTTCATGCTTTCATTCCCTGGGGAATCTTCAAAATTGATTATTTTTTTTTTGTTCAATAGAAATATCTGTCGATTAGATCTGAGTCAATGACTAATAATTCTGATTTTAACTTTTTATTTATATTCATTATCAAGAGTTAAGTTAAATGAGCTCCAAATTGTAGCTTGTAATTGTGTGCTTTCTCTGCCTCGAGTATCATCAGTCAGAGTATCTATTAGAGCAATCAAAAACAGATGATTACAGTTTTCCGCGAAAACTTACACATCTGTAAACTCCGAATTTAGATCACTCTTAACATGACCATTATCAAGTTAATTAACATAGTTGTTAAATGTATATATAATATCCTTAATGTCTGTCTACTGTTTTAGTATTACATTCTTTATTATACAATAAATACGTCCATTCCATTTGATCAATGGCCTAAGATTAAGATTTATACATATCCATTTTATATTCTTCCAATATCAATTTCTATTAATTCTCAAGTATTTATACGTGTTGCTACTGTTAATGCAAAAGGTTTAGTATTAAGTGATTTTCAAATGATTAACTATACATTATCAAATAGTCATTTATTTCCAGTAATTAATAATTTTCATTGTTCATTTGATAATCAAAATCAATTAATTTATCTTGAATGGTTAATTTATCATAATTCTTATATATTAATAGAAAATCATGTTTTATATTATTATGATACAACACAAAATAATGATAATTTAATTCGTATATTAAAAATTCCTAATAATTCACTAATAATTGATCGTCATTCAACATACGATTTATTGAAATATAAATTTAATACTTCTTTATTTGATTTAAATTATAATGAATATTATATTTTACGTCTACATTTAGCTATTATTGATCAAAGTCAAAATCAATTACCAATGACGCCTTCGCCTATTTATTGTACTTTTACAAAAAAATCTGGTAAGAATTTCTTTTATTTGCCAAAACTACTGATCGATCGATTTTATGATAGAAATTGATTGTCAAGGATAATTCTATATGTCTTATCTGGTGTTCATAAGGCCACATATGCATATATATATATGTACATATTATTGTCTATGATACATGAGAGTTTACTTGTTTGATCTTTATGTGGTAATCAATATATATATATATATATATATATGCAGAAGCAATTGACTAGTCTGTTTCTTGTCGGATTATGTCTTGATCTATCTTAGAAAGAGAATAAGTAACCTTTTTTTTTATTTTTTATTCCATTTAGATAATTATTTGTATTGATAAGAGAAAATAAGGATCGTACATATGTTAAGGAGAAATATTTGATGAACTCACAGGAGAAAAAGAAAAATAATAATGATCGGAAAAGATGAATTACGTAGATGTGTTTTATATATAAATATAGTGTGTGTATTGTTATTTATACTGTATGATTTTGTTAAGAAAAGCATCTAATGAACATATGTTTATTTAGTAGACGATTATCAAAAGACATTTTTTGATCGCCTGATGAGAATCGATTTATCTTAAAAGGCTATCTGCTTTTTGCGTCACATACAACTGTTGTTAGTTTATTTAGAAAAAAAGAAGAAAGCCTTGTGGCTAGTTACAGACTGTTCTAGACACATCTTCAGTTGGCTAAACAATGCGTGAAGATAAATGACAGTCAGAAAGATGAAATAAATAATGTAAGAGTAATTAGGCGACCATCGGTCGGCATGATCCACTCGATTTCTTTCCCATTCTCTCTTTTATTTCATCGTCCACTCTCAATATATATGTATAGGACAATACAGTTATATTCAAACAATATTTCTCGTTTTCTTTCTCTCTTCGAACCGAACAGACGATGATGATGATGATCGAGGTCGTGTTTCTCGCTTCTCTTTCTTCTTTTCTCTATTTCCTTTACTTCTTCTTCTCTTTCTTCTTCTATTCTATACATGTCAGAAAAGAGGAGAGAAAGAAAAAAAATTCTTCTTTTTCTTTCACACAATCGAACAACTGTCCAGTTTGGCTATTTGTCTGCTTGTTTATTTGATCAACTAAATCACTAAATGACCGATCATTTTCAATTAAAATAAACAATTAATACCATTTTCAATGATTTTTCTAATTGTTTTCTATACAATATTCATATTTATTACAAATAATTTTGCACAAATTCCAAATAACATACGAATAATATCAACAGATAAAGATTTTATTCGTTTATCTTGGACAAAACCTGATCGTTTATCAACAGTCTATGGTTATACAATAAAATATCGTCCAATAAATTCCAATCAATCATGGATAGTACGACAAACAAATAATACACAAATACTTTTAAATGAACTTCGTCCTATAACGAAATATGAAATTATTCTACAAGCTTATACAAATGCTTCATATACAGATTCTTCTGGACCATCAACGCGTATTGAAGCGATAACAGATGAAACAGGTAATTTCCTGTTCAGTGATTATAAAGTTCTGTCTAGACATTAATATGATTAAAGAAAACGAGAGTATTTTCTTAATAGTAATGGTATTTGAGAAATAGAAAATAAGTATTAGACATATATAAATATTAGAATTCGAAATAATATTTATGATGAATAGACCAATTTATTAAATACGAATGCGTTTAGATTCATTGTAATCAGAATGCATGATGATTTATTTCCGGCAATGACCATTAGAATCTTGAATGGCCATTAATGGAATTAGATTCAGTTAATAATTATGAATAGGACCGGAAGAAGAATTTTTTTTTTTGTGTATATATATATCCATCTAAATTTCTATTTTCTTTTCAAAAATCGTAAATCAACCATATAGATTTCGTTGATTAGTAAATATCATTACGATAAAATTTTGCAATTATATTTATATAAATCTGGTAGAAAGAAATTTCCTTGTTTAAGAAAAGCTTAAATAAAACTATATCGTGAACGTTTTAACAAAAAGAACTTATTGTCATTGCTTGCTAATTTTAAATCGCATTCATAATACACACATTCTTTTACTCGTTTTCATAGGTGAAATATGAATAGTAATTCATCTTTTGTCTCGTAGTTTAATCCATCATAGGTGTAAATGAAAGTAATTTCGATTTTATATTCTTCGTGACAATCAAATCGATTGACATATAAGAAAAACACAATATCATTAATCATTTAACATATGTGTACATGTCAAATATTGATTAAAAAATTCTTTAAATAGAAAAGACTCATTTTGTTTCATAGATTTAATTAAAATCTATGTTAATAATCAGTATAGACTTTCTTTGTAACAAATAATGAGCTATTTAGAAATTTTTTTTTCTCACCCATAGAAAACCTGTTCTTCGATAAAAGGAAATAATCCTCTTCCCGTAAGTCTTTCATACTCGGCAAATTTTTAAATGAAGTTTCTATTTCAAACTGAATTTGATACTAATAATTATTTACAAAAATAGACATTAATTTTTTGAAATGTAGTCAATAGAATATGAGATAAATATCATCGTAAATGACAATTAAATACTTGAAACGTTGAATTTTGCTACTAGTATTTAAAGATTAAACAGGGGATAATCAAATTTTGTAATTATATATGTATGAGTAAGCAAATTTCTTTGATGAATTAATATATTGTGTAAACAAGTAAAATGTGATTTCTAAGATTGATCTTTGTAAAAAATTTTTAAGTATTGCGTGATCAAAAATTATGAAAATAATTCTATCATATATGTATACAAAATAAGCAGTTAAATGATCAAGAAACTTTCTAATTCACATAAAACAAATGTACTCAATTTTATTAGAAAATTACCACACCTGCTCTGTTAGATCATGATGCATATATGTGCGTGACTATCCAAGCAATAAGAATAGTAAACGAAGAAACCTCCTATGAACATAAGACATTTTTTTAAACTAGAAAAAAAGAAAAAAAAATCCCCAATAGAATACATACACATTCTCGTTGTCATCATCGTCATTTAACTTCTTTTTTTTTCAATTACACCGAGTCGATTCAAACTAAGCTATGTCTTGGAAAAAGAACACAATCAATATAGATATTAGTCGGTTTAATTACTGCCGACAAATGAGTTTAGTAACAACATGGTTTCTCATACTATTTAGAATAGTTAGAAAAAAAGAGGGAAGCGCAAGCATAAAAAAGTAGATCTGCCGACAATATTTGGTTGAATTACATAAAAGACAAGTGTATTCATAACGGAAGACAACGCTTTTCAAGGTCGATTGCTTCTTTTATTTCATTTGCTTATAAAACAATATGAAAGAGCAAATAATTAGTTGTTTTCCACTTAAAAACGATGTCTTTCTATATGGCAAATAAACTATCAACTATTTTACGTTGAGGATATTCATTCTTTTTTTAAATACAAGAATCAATTGTCCTGCTGTATGAATATATATATTCAAATAAATTAATAGAAGAATATCATCAATTTGTGTTGTGATATTTCTTATGTCATATCATTTTCATAATTAGATAAAGTGTAAAGAAGGAGAAGAAAAAGAGAGAGAGAGAGTGATGCTTAGTTTTCTTAATGTATTTTATAAAAACTTAGGTTCAATGTCAATATAAAAAGATAATTTGATAGTAAGATGTGCTTTTCTACGGGTAAAATAAATAGAATAAACTGTTCCTATATATATATATATATATATTGCAGTGTATGAGATGAGAAGAGAAGACGAGAAAAGGAGAGAGAGAGAAGAAGGGAGAGAGGGAAAAAAGGGAAAGTAACTTCGGATAGAAAGAAAGAAAAAGGAGAAAGCAATAGTCGTTTAGTGTAGAATTTTGAACACCAGCAAATTATTTTATATCCAAATGTGGTCATTATTCATCTTACTTTCAATTCTAGTTCCACTTGTTGCACCAATTAATGTAAGTGCACATATGATTAATCAAACAACAGCAAATATATCATGGATTTATCCACTTGATTCAAATAATCCTGATGATATAGCATTACTTGGTGGTATGATTAAAGGTTTTTATGTTATCGTTTTTGCACCTGATTCTATTCAACCACCCATTGTCCATCGAAATTATGAAGGTACAATTGGTACACAATATTGGGATATTGTAGGCAATTTAACACCTGGTGCAACATATCATGCACAAGTTAAAGCATTTACAAAAAAAGGCGATGGAAAACCAAGTGTAGCTTATATATTTACAGTCCCAAAAGATGATTTACGTAAGTCAATTTGAACTGTTAAAAAATAACTGAAAAGTGATCGATCACATCCTTAACATAAAGATACTTCATTTATATGTGTATTCAACACTCAATAGATAGGAAAATCAATAATGGACATTCTTATGTAATTGACGACGTTTTTTTTTCTCCTTTCTTTTTTTCATATTGATGAGTTATGTATCTATCAATAATTGTCTATGCATATATATATATAAGGTTCCATAATAGAAGATTTGTATACATCCTCTATGAAGATAAATGAGTTTAGTCCTAAATTCAGGTTAATACATAGAGAGTTTCGATTGAATGAAAGAATGCATGTTAGTTATATAATTAATTTCATGAACGGCTGGAGATGTTTGTATCTAATTTATTGGTTGTGCTGCTGGGAAAACTTGTTTTTATTCCTGTTTTTTTTCGCTTCGATCAGTTTTTACATCAGATGTATGCACATGTCATAGGTCATGAGTAGTTATTGTTAGCAAATTTAGAGAATAATTATGAATAACTGTTTAAAAAAAGTAATGTCTAATTTAACATACCGGATGTTATCATTCTGTATGTTATATACATGACAAATCAACATGCAATTTTATTAATAAAATTTCTAATTAGGTTTAATAAAATAACAAATCAAAACGGATCTATAGATTACATGTATATGATCTTTCAACAAGAATAAGCATCATCTTTATGAATAGAGTACTTCATCATAAGGTCTTATCAACTGTCAACAATAGAATAATGTTGATGAATATAACAAGGTTCTTTTTACATATATACATATACTTAATGAGCATCGTTAGATATTATAAAGTGTTCATTCTACCATATTTAATGGGCGGGACTAGACTTTCTTTTCTTCCTAAAAACAGTTTTGTTGTAATAATAATGCGATCATGTGTGAATGACATTGTATAAGAAATAGGAAAAAATGTAACGATAAGTGGATATGCGAAGAGAATTAATCTTTTGAATTAGTATAAGAAACAACACAAAAAGAAATGGATAAACTAGCCTTAGGCATTAGTGACCGGATGATGGACAATGATTGATAAAAAAAAAATGGAGAAAAGATTCAATCGAACAATTGATTGATCAAGACAATGATTAAATTTTGTACTCTTAGACAAATGTTTCAGTCTAGCATATCCGGTTTAATTATATTTCATAGGGAAAAATACTTTCATTGAACTATGTCTAGAGTTTAATCAAATACGTGTTCCCTTTTTTTTTCTATAGAGAAATTTCGGAATACACTCGATAGAGATTAATTATAGAAAAGAAACTTGAAAGTTAGCAGAACATATAAATAACTGTAATTTTTCATGAGGAGATTCGGTTGTCAGACGTTTGATTAGTGATTACATTAAGAGATTTTTTTTTGTTTTCATTCAATAAAATAAATGATGAGATTAATAGTGAACATAATAATGAGAATGTTAACGTAGAGGGACATTCGAATGGTCATTATTTAAAAAAAGGTTATTAAAAGCATCAGTATACTTTTGTCAATAATCATATATGTATCTAAAGTATACAGAATAAGATAAATCGAAATATATTCAATGATATTACGTTTACTATCGTTTAATTTTGATTGATCATGTGATGAACAGATTATCAGTAATGATCTTTTGTTATGTACTTGTTGATAATAAAATAAATCTTATTTTAAAAAATTATGATTTATTTTCTAATCAATCGAGATTTGATTTAATTTTTCTTCTTGTAAGAAAAAACATGTTATTATTATTTTTTTGTGTTACATATTTAGAACATCCTCCTCTCATGAATTTAACCGCATATGTTGTTAATGTTAACACGTTAAGTGTCACATGGGATTTACCATTGAATGTAAATGATATCAATAAAATCTATATAACAGTTACTGAACTTGGTCAAATTAATCGAACAATACAAATGCAATCATTTGATAATACAATAAAAAAATTAGATATTCAAATCAATGATAAAGATCCACATAGTATACATTCAAATACAACTGTACATTTTTCTGCTCGATATTCTGATCAGAATGGTCAAAATTCTTCAATAGCTGAATATCAACTAAATATTAATATATTGAGTAAGTTTCCTTTTCTTTTGTATATAACACTGTGTGTGTGTGTATGTCTGGTGTTGACAGAATGACATCCTGTTATAAAAGCATAGGCATACATTTCGATGTATGTCACCATTATTATACACGGAAAAAAAATGAGAGGGACCATTGATAGACATTGAGGAAAAAAAAGCCGAAGGTCTTTTCGGTTTGTTTGTTCAGTAAAATATTATATTAGATAGCTCAATCAAGCAAATGTCTATGTATGACTAAAAACTTCATAGAACATGCAAGCATTTGCCGTTCCTTTCTTTCCAACACGCATTAATTTTATATATATATATTTATTTGCATGTTCAGAAAAGACAAAAAAACTGTAATAGACGTAGTAGATATCTCTTGTTTTCTCTGCTTCTGCTTCGTCTTCTTCTTCTTCTTCGTCTTCAATTTTTTTCTATGGTATTAACTATCCTGAAGGATCGAATAAGTATAAAGCAAAAGAAAAAAAAAAAAGGAAAAGAAAAAAATTTTTTTTCTTTCTTAACATTACACAGATATTAAAATTGATCGTTTTCTCATGTTATTTTTCTCGAGTGAATAATAAAAATTAAGTAATATTTTAATGTATCAAGTAACAGTTGTGTATATTATTCTACTTATTTTTTCGACTTCTAAACCAATTTATAATTCTATTGTACGTTCGAGTATATATTATGTTCAAACACCAGGTTCATCAATTTGTAATATATTATTAACATTATTTATAACTTAACTTGTTTTATTGTTATTACATATCTATATTTAGATCCATCTCCACGCGATGTACGTGTCGCACGTATAAATGATACAACAATACAAGTATTTTGGTCACCAATATATTATCCACCTGTTGAACGATATATAGTTCATTATAATGATAAAGCAGAAAATAAAAAAGAAAATCAATGGGCACTTTATGCTCCTATAAATCCTAGTGCAACAACAGCAATTATAAGTGGTCTGAAACCAGCTGCAATGTATAATGTACGTGTTAATGCGGAATTTTCTAATACAAATATGAATGATCCATCGTATGCATCCGGAACAAGTCCTCGTGAAGGTGATTTATCAGATATTCAAGTAGCAGATGTATTTCATCGTAAGTTACATTCAAATCTCTAACATCTCTTTTAATTCAATCATTTATTTAAGGTACAAAATATGTCATTCAATATGACAATCAATTAAGTCGACCATATAATATGAGTTATACGGATTTAACATCGAATAGTGTTAAATTATTATTTAAATTTAATGAAATGAATCTTGATCCACGTCGACAAATACAAAAACTTGAAGTTTGTTTAATAAATAAATCCAAATACTCTTACACATATATCTATTTGTTTTAAGGTGCATTATGAAGGTATACAAAATTATGTTGATAGTTTAGGTACAGCACGTTCTACATCTCATCATAATTCTGCTGGTCTTATTACACTTCCACCAACACAAGGTACACGTGAATGGCTTGTTACTGGTTTAGTACCAAATACACGTTATACACTAAATTTAACTGGAACAATAACAACATCAGAACAATCAACATCAAAAATTTATAGTCAACCAGCAACAATAAATTTTTCAACTGATTATGATGCACCACCCTATGTTGATCGACCAGAACAAGATCGACGTAATATAATCAATGGTAATAATCAACAAGTTTATTTTCGTTTACATCGTGCATCAACAAAAAATGGTCCTATTGATCGTTATTATATTGTTATAAATCTTTTTGAACAAACAACATATCAATCCTATGTACCACAAGAAGTAAAAATATCTATTTGACTAATACTTATTTAGTTTTTATTTATGAAAAATTTCAGGGTCATCGTGAATGTTGTTATACTGCTGCAGTATTTAATGAATCTCAATTACCAGAAATGTTTATATTAGGTGATGGAAAAGAAACACGAGATTGGGAACCATTTTCCGGACGTACATATAATAATTCTCCATTAATAAGTACAAGTCGAATAAAACTTGTTTCATGGGGATTTAATCGTCGGAGAGAAAATTTAACAACATCAAGTTCATCAATATCAATAAATGTACCTATAAAATCTCCTCAAACATCAAATGAAGATACATTTCATAATTTATTATGGATATTTGGAATAATATTTTTACTTTTTTTAATTCTTATTATTGTTATTATATTTTCATTAAAATTTAATCGAACAAAAAGAAAATCATTAACACCACCACCCGAATGTGTACCATTTGATTTAACACCTAAAGTATTAACTATGGAAATGCAAATGCCTATTTTACCACCGACAATTTCACCTGCATCATCAGGTGACCCTGTTGAAATACGTCGAATACAACCATTAACAAATTATGCTCCAATACCCATCGAAGAATTTTCTACTCATCTTGAACATTTAAAAGCATCGGATAATTATAAATTTTCTCAAGAATATGAAGTAAGCAAAAAAATCTGATTCTCATGAGATTTAACTATTTTGTCTGAGGAACAAACAACAAATATGAATGATATTCATAGACAAAAAATTTTAATTAACAAAAAGGAAGAGATGTTTTGTCCTATGAGATAAAATAATGCTTAACATTTTGCATGTTATTCTATATTAAAGGATGTTTTCAATAAACTTCTATCCCGTGAGATTGATGAAGAATATACTGACCTGTGTTCATATATATATATAAAGTCACAATTATAATTTAGAAACAAAAGAAAAAAAAGCTTTAGTTTCTCTAGGAAATGATCAACTAAGAGAACGGAAATTAATAATTTAGAATAAAAACAATTAATTTAACTATTCGCGTGCTTTCATATATGCGTTGTTACCAGTCATAATTTTGTTAAGAGTAAAATAAAATTATCCTTGAGATGAATATATATATATATATGTTTATTCGCACAAGAAAGTCTAAATATCTCATCAATGTCTTTTCTTTTTATTAATGAAATTTTTGAAATGTATTAAATTTAATTAATATATTTTTGACATATGTTAATAATAGATTTAAAAATAACTAAGATGTTCTTGAGGACGGTTGTAATATTACCTTGAAGCATTCTTAAGGGAAATAATTTCCGTTTTATCCTGCTAGGTTTTTTTTTGCTCAACACTTACGACCTGTTGAGACTGATGGCTAATTAAAACTATTCATATTCATAGATATGCTATCCTTAGATAATTATCTGTTTTCTAATGAAATGCTAATGGCAAAGTTAGAAGAATCTTTTTGGCCTCGAGTTTTACCAATGAAATAAACTATTTTATGACACTCGGTAAACCCCTGTAATTTTATTTTAGTCTATTGATCCAGGTGAACAATTTTCTTGGGAAAATTCCAAACTTGAATGTAATAAAACAAAAAATCGTTATGCAAATGTTGTTGCTTATGATCACTCACGTGTTATTTTACGATCAATTGATGGTATAAATGGTAGTGATTATATTAATGCAAATTATTTAGATGGTTATAGAAAACAAAATGCTTATATAGCAACACAAGGACCATTACCAAATACATTTGCAGATTTTTGGAGAATGATTTGGGAAACAAATTCCGATTGTATTGTTATGATGACGAAATTAGAAGAACGAAATCGTCTCAAATGTGATCAATATTGGCCAAGTCGTGGAATGGAAACATATGGATCTATTCAAGTTACTTTAACAGATTTTATTGAATTAGCATCTTATAGTATACGAACATTTACTATAGCATGGGTAAGATTTAATTATTGAATTATACAGATTAATTCATTCTAAAAAATTTAGACTGGTCATCCAGAAAAACGAGAAATTCGTCATTGTCAATTTACAGCATGGCCTGGTAAGATTATCTAGTTCTATGATAAATCTTCTTATAAAATCTGTATATATTTAGATCACGGTATATTAGAACATGCTACATCATTTTTAATGTTTGTTCGACGAGTAAAAACTCTCAATCCACCTGATAGTGGTCCAGTAGTTGTACATTGTTCAGCAGGTGTTGGCCGTACTGGCTGTTTTATTGTTATTGATGCTTTATTAGAAAAATTAAAACATGAAAAAACAATTGATATATATGGTCATGTGACTCTATTACGTGCTCAAAGGTAAACAAAAATGAAATCTTTATTTTAAATATTCTATCAATGTAGTATATTTCATTCAATCTGAAATCTAATCTAAACAGAATTGGAACTAGTATCAGTCAGATTGACATGAGTTATTTTTCATTGTCGTTTTCTAATAAGAAAATAGAACCATCAGTTATTATAAATGATTTGAGGTATTTTGTAATTAGAATAACTACATTTTCTCTTAATTTCAGAACAATTAATCATGATAGTAAAAAGTCTTGTCTGGTATTAGATGTTTTTTAATTTTATTTTTTTAGAAACTATATTGTTCAAACTGAAGAACAATATATATTTATTTATGAAGCTATTAATGAAGCAATACAATCAGGTTATACTGAAGTAGCAGCTCGAAATTTATTAACACATTTACAAAGACTTCTACAGCCATTAAACGATAGTTCATTAACGGAAATGGAGCTTGAATTTAAAGTAAGAGAAAAAGAAAGAAGAAGAAGAAGAAGAATTCATCTAACTTTTTTTACTCATTTAGCGTTTGGCGAATATGAAAGCTCTACCATCGAAATTTATCAGTGCAAATCATCCATCGAATAAATTCAAAAATCGTCTTGTAAACATCTTACCATGTAAGACAAATTATTTGAATTTCCAAAATTTATATTTAATCTTATTTCTATTAGATGAAAATACTCGAGTATGTCTATCACCAATACGTGGTATTGATGGATCAGATTATATCAATGCATCGTATATTGATGTAAGTTCAAATTTATTCTCATAAAACATATTTGAGATATTAATATATATGTCGTTGAGAGCAATTATTAGTGTAATCGATAGAAATGTTACTCATTAAAGTTTTGACAAAAGCATAGTAGACTTCCGCTATCGATAGATTTCCGGTAAATAACGAAATAAGGATGTTTATTAAAATAACTGAAGTACTTTACAATTGTATGTACTAGTTCATCTGGTATAGATATAAAATAATGAAGATGCAAACTGAATGCTATAAGTTCATTATGATTGAAATTATTTTTATCAAATATTTTAGGGTTATCGATTTCGGAATGGTTATATTGCAACTCAAGGACCATTAAATGAAACAATTGATGATTTTTGGAGAATGATATGGGAACATAATGTCACAATCATTGTTATGCTTACAAAATTAAAAGAAATGGGACGAGAAAAATGTTCTCCATATTGGCCAATTGATCAATCAATACGTTATGGATATTTTATAATTGATCCACTTGGTGAATATCATATGTCACAATATTTATTAAGTGAATTTAAATTAACTGATACAAGAGTAAGCAAAAATTATTTTTTATTATTAAATTATTTTTTTTGTTGAATTTTTTAGGATGGTCAATCTCGAACTATCCGACATTTTCTTTATACAGAATGGCCTGAACAAGGTGTACCTAAAGTTGGAGAAGGATTTATTGATTTTATAGGACAAGTACATAAAACTAAAGAAGGTTTTGGTCAAGATGGGCCTATTGTTGTACATTGTTCAGCTGGTAAAAAAAAATTTATATTTAATATTAAAATAAGAAAACTTCATTTTTTGATTTTAGGCGTTGGAAGAACTGGTATATTTCTAACATTAAGTATTGTACTTGAACGAATAAGATACGAAGGTGTTGTTGATGTATTTCAAACGGTGAAATTATTACGTACACAACGACCTGCACTTGTTCAAACCGAAGTAATTATTAAATTGACTATATATTCTCTTTCTCGTAGAGAAGAATCCAGTAAACATAAATTGTTTGTTTGCTTGCTTGTCTGTCCACAGGGTCAAAAAAACATCGAAAACCGATTTTTCGAAAAAGACATGTCTCGAGGTATTTCGATGCGGACAGTTAGAATCTGAGATCCGTTAGGTGACCATGCAGAGGGGGGAGGCGATGACGAGGGGTTAAAAGTCAAAAAGATATCGAAAATCAATTTTTCATGGTTTTCATTTGTTTTTCTGGTAAATATGAAGAAAATGCATTTCCGCGAGAAAGAGCAAAACGAGTCCTCGGACGAGCGTTACTTGTGTATATCTATTATTTATTTATTTTCTTCTAGGATCAATATCAATTTTGTTATCGTTCAGCACTCGAATATTTAAGTTCATTTGATAATTTAATATGATCTTAATTCCTAGTCAACACAGTGACTTGTAGCTAAGATTTTTCTTCTTTTCTTTTTTCTTTCTTTGATAATACGAGAATTTCATGTGATGTTTTACAAGAAAACTATTATTATTATTATTATGCTAGAGCTTTTTTTTCTATACTATGTGTTGATATTTGTTCGCGTTTTTTGATACTATTTTTCTAACCTAATGGTGGTTGAGCCTTTTTTTTTCTTTTTTTTTCTCTCTTGTGTCTTAATTGTTGTGTGATGAATGCTGGTTTTTTTCTCTCTCTCTCTCTCTGTATGTGTGGAATCTCTAATTACAAAATTTAAATATTCTTACGAAACGATCAATTTGTATGGAATAGACTAGTTTATTAACAAGAAATTACATTTTTTCATGTTGATATCGTTAAATGAAAATGTAGATATACTATAAACAAATCCAGCTGAGAGAATGTAAATTTTATTCATCAAAGAAAAATAATTGGACTAATTAGAATATTTAGAAAAATAACCCATGCTATATCGTAATACAAAAGAAATAATAATGCAGATATTTTATCTTTAGATTTCACTGACGTGAATAGTTAATAGCTTCTATTGTATAATTGTTAAAGGTTTCAGAAGGACTATATCAAATTAAATACGTGAAATCAATATTATGTAAAGGAATGATTCATGAGTCATAAAAACAATTTTCTTTTTCTTTTCTTTTAAATAAAATGAAAAAATGATTTATTATATTTACAGAAAAATTCTTCGTTTTTTTACGAAAGTCACATGTTATTTTATTGTTCACGTGATTCAATTTCTTCAACAAGTCTTGTGATCCATTGTGGAACAACCGGGGTACGATGGGCAATATATGTACCACGATTTGTTTGGCCAACAATATAGTCTCCGTTTTCACTATTTTTCATAGTTGCCGGACGTATACGTTCGACATAGCCATCTGATGCAAATTTAACTAATGGTATTGCATCAGATTGTTTCCTCGCAGCTGCTGTTATTGTTGTCGTTGAAGGAGGAAGTGGAGACGACATCCCGGATTGAGAAATATATGACGGCGATGCTTCTGACAATGTTAATATAGATGAATTTAGATCATTTGAAGATGAATTGTCAATATCTACTGCAATACCAGAATCTTCATCGGTATATGATCCATTATAATCATTAGAAATTGACGTAGCCATTGTATATATATATCTAAAAAAGGTAATGATCTATTATAACTATACCAGCTGATGTCAATTGTATTATTATTGTGTTGTTTTTTTACTATTATTATTCATCATTAGAACTATGATTGAATAAATGGAAGAAGAAGAAGAAAAACACCTTCATTCGATTTTATATTCTATAGTATAATCATTCAATGTGTTAGAACTATTTAAAGAAGAAAAAGAAAAAAAAAGATCGATATATAATTTCACGAAGCGGTGTTGAGTACATGGGTATACAAAAAATGAATCATTTAAGATCCTATTTTTATCTTATGACTCATATCTTCATAATTGAGAATAATTTAGTTTCGCCCACCAGAAATAGAAAAAGTATGCTCTTTTAAGAAAGAAAAAACGTGCATGCAATGCGCGCACTTCAAGTGCAATTTCCATCTATTTCTCATATAATTTCAAAGAATATTAAATGCTGATTAGTGAGATATTGTCATCAGATCCAAGAAAGTCATGTTTCTTGACATCTCTTCTAATTATGAGAATTTCTATATTAATAATTGAGTCTAGACAAGTACCGTCATTGATTTTAAGTCAATCATATGGATGATTTATATTTGCAAAAAAACTCACCTATTATTAGTATAACGGATAATACCCGCAGTGCTACTATGAATAGATATTTTGAATTGAAGTTAATTAAATAATTCACCTATATATATAATTTTTAATATTGAATCAGTAAAAATAGTTTTAAACAAGAAATCAATGAATTTTTTTTTACATTTTTAAGAGAATGACAATTTTCAAATATTTGATAATTCTTGACCTGGATAGAAAAAAAAGTTTTGATAAATGTCAGGACCTAATTACGTACAATTAGCCACTTCTATCTGATGCAATCATATGTGAAAAGAATGGCAAACGAGCTATATTTAAACATTTTAATTGTCAATGCTCTATATTAACTGACAACAAAAGAATCTATTAGAAAAAAAAAAGTTTCTAAATTCTTTTTTTTTTCCATCGATTTTAACTTAATTCATGCATTGTATTCTAAGAGGATTGTTATACGTTAGCGGGAAAACTTCTTTTTGACAATTGTTTTGTTACTCACCGAGAAACTCTCGATGAACGGATGAATATATTTATAGTTTTAGCATTATGTGTATTCTAATCAAAAACAAAAAGAACAAAGTAAGAATTACTAAATAAGGGGAATTTACAAAAACACGAGATAAAAATAACTGCTTCTACTAAAGTACACCGTCTACAGTATATTTATAACACATATATATATCAATAGTGCAAAGTTTCACAGGCGACATTGTTGTTGTGTCTGATGAATAGAATGAATTTATATCTCACATTGTTAATATATTCTTTTTTTCTCATCTATCAGCCAAAGGTATGACGAACCCCACTAGTTTAATATTATTTGATGCATTTTATTATTATAACAAAAAAAAATAGAAAGTCAATCTTAACGACATAATTTTCATATATTTATCTGTCATTTGAAATTAAAATTTATGACTCAAGATTATAAAAACTAATCTTATACTATACGTTCTTTATTAAAGGTTGTTGCGTCTATGTCTCACTATTTTATTAATAAATTTAAAAGAAAAAGACATGCGTCTTAACAAATATATAATAATTTTTATGCATGTTAAACACGATGAAAATTTTCTTGTTTTCAAAAGCTTAAGACAACATCATGACAATTTGTTTTTTACTCAGCAATAGTCTCAAGGACTTGTTTTTCAACCATACAAAACTTAGATCATTCTCTTTTTATCTATACATATGAGTGAACTGTTTTTATTCTATGATCAAAAGCAGAACAAAAAACAGAGCATACTAATACAAGAATAATGTCTTTTTCTCTTGACAAGACACGCAAAAAAATAAAACAAAATAATATAATGTCAAATATTTGTTGAATTAGTATCAATTACTGTCGATTTAGTTGATGTGAGAAATGGTTCATCGACTAATGAAGTTCGTTTAATTGGTGCTAATTGTATATTTTCTATATTGAATTTTTTTGTTGAAAAACCATTGCTTTTACCATTTGTTGATGGATCAACTGGCGGCGCATGATATGATGATGCACGATCAACAAATATTTCACCATCACCAATCATATTCATATTTGTATTTGATTGATGACGATTAAAACATGAACATATTTTAAATAAACATGGTATTATTTGTTGAAATTCTTTACGAAAATTATCATTTAACCATGAATATAAAAATGGATTATAGATTGTTGATGACATTGCTATAACATGTGTACTTAAAAATAATGCTTTATAATGACTTAATTCTGAGCGATGAAATTCTGCAACCATATGAACAATATTTAATGGTAACCAACATATAGCAAATATAACAACCATAGCTATAAGCATACGATTTGTACGTTTTTTACGACATATTTCAACTTCTTCACGTACACGTGTACGACCAAGTAATGAACGACGTGCAAGTGCAACCCATACTTTATAATAACTAAATGATATAACTGAAAATGGTATAAGATATTGTAGAACTAATGATGAAAAATTAAAAAAACGTCGAGATGTATATTGTGGCCAATATTCCTATTAAATAAAAGAAAATAAATATATTTTTTTTTTGAAAAAATTTTCAATTTACTTCACATTTAATACGATCAAATCGCATATAGATAGCTAATGGTAATGATATTGATATACCAACAATCCATATAACAATGATTAATAATATACAAACACCTAAACGCATACGAGAACGAAATGGATGTACAATAACAAAATAACGATCAACAGCAATTGCTAAAGAAGTTAATGTTGATACATAAACTAAAACAAAACAAAAAATATAAACAATCATTTTTTAAATAATAATAATAATATTATTCTACCCGATATCCCCAATGACATTGGTACTATATGACAAAGTATTCTTCCCAAATGCCACGTATGTCCATAAGCTGATATTGGTGTAAATGGTACAGCTAAACAACACATCTGAATAAGAAAATATTTTTTTATAAAATTTGAAAATCTCGAAAACAAATTTAATTTACAAGAATATCTGAAAGTGCTAAATTTGTAATAAATACATTTGTAACTGTTTGCATTGCTTTATTTCGGCAAACAACGACTAACAAAAAAGAAAATTATAATAATATATATATTCTTTGTACTTCTTTAATAATAACTTACAAACTACAAGAGCATTACCAGTTATACCAAAGAAAAAAATAAGTGCATATAATGTTATAAATGTTGCCATAATAACTGGACGATTTTCCAATGAAACCATATGTTCAGTTGCCGAACTAATTGGCATTGATGAAGCTCTTATTGTAGCTGTATAATTATTGTTACTATTATTAAATGCCATTTAGTAAATAGATTTATCTAAAATTATTAATTGAATAAAGATAAAAAAGAAACGAATAAATTAAAAAGTAAACTTTAGAATGAAATGAAATAATTTAAGGGTAATATATAACGAGTAAAAATTTATGGAAAGAAAAAGTCTTTGTTTAACCTCCTCAGTAATTGTGTCGTGGTATATGCGCGTATGCTGAATTTCTACTTTTTTTAATAAACATTTTCCTTACTCGTTCTTTTTCTTTTTTTTTCTTCTTTGACTTATTCTTTTTTGGGCCAATATTACGTTTGATAGAATGGTTCTGTAAATATATGTGTGCATGCAAATGCATCAGACGCTATCCTTTTACTATTGGACTGTTTTTGATAGAATTCTATTGCCTATCTCCCGGAGTCTTTTTTTTTTCTTCTCGTTTGCTTCTAGGTTTTTCTCTTCTTTTCTTTCTTTCTTTTATTACTGACATTGAATATGATAAAAAACAAAAAATGTGAGGAGAACGACAAGATGAGAAGTTAGGAAAAGAAGAAAAAAGAAAAAGAAAGGTTCATATGTCTCCTCAAGGCAAACAGAATCGAGTGTGAATAAGAAAAACGCAAAGATTCAACATTTGCATGTGTACTTACACCCACGGAAAAGCTAGATTCAGGATGAATAGAGTGAAAGATTGGCAGGATTAAAGCAAAGATCTTATCTAATATTTTAATGACAGACAGATACTATCACATACTTTAGACGTTCGTGTCGGTTTTTTTTCTCTATGTATGAAAAAGAGAGAGACAGACTCATTGAATAATATGAATACTTTAATGAACAAGAAAAAGAGCTGAAAAACAATGCCATTTTGGTAGATGTTTTATTTAATATCATTATTCGGAAAAAGAAAACAAAGATCATATATCGAATTGATAGAAAAATATTATCTGACAAATTCCATTATAAATATTTATTGATATAAACACTCATTTTTGTTTGTTAATAAGACAAAAATTTGTCATTTCGAGTGAATGATACTCTCGAGTCAGAAAAAAAAGAAAAAACGATTATTTCTCGTTTTCATGAATGTTTAAATATTCACATTGTTTAGGTTAGTAAAGCTCAACATTAGATTAAGTTGTGATGCTTATGCATGCGTATGAGTTATTATAAAAAGAAAAATATTTTTATTTTCTGTATATTCATACTTCTTTTCCATTGGGATTAGAACATATGATATAATACTCACGCAATAATAAGAATAGAACTCTTACTCAGCACTTTTGTTCATTTTTGATTAAATGCATATAGAAGCAACAAAAAAAATAGATGACTTTTTGCTTCAAAAAAAAAACATATATATTATTAAATAAAATTTAAATAACATATTTAAGAACATTTTTATGCTTGAAGAAAAAAGAAAGAAATTATACGTCAATATATATATCTATATGTTAAATTTAGTTAGAATATGATATTTTGTAATATTTATAATACAAAAATATTCAATTATATCCTTTATTTGTAATAATAACCAAATGAAATATATAATTGAAAATGTCGAGTAAATATTGATAATGCTGTTTACTTATATCAATGCTCTTTTTTCTTTTATAGGAAAACAACATTATTTGATCAATAAATATGCAAAAGAAAAACCATTAGAATTAGTTTTTTTTCTTCTCTTTTTCAAAACTTGCTCAAGAAGATAAATTTCTATCTATTTTATAGTTGTCGAACTAGAATTCTGCTCTAGGAGGGAGGGGCACAGTTCTTTTATCTTTGGTATTGCATTAGAGAGGGCTAAGCCTTTCCTAAGCCTTCCTTCCGAACAAATAATATATATATTACAAATTTCGTTAGAGAAAGCTCAGTTCCTGTTACCACCTCATGACTTTGTCGCTGTTATTTTGAATATCCTCACAATAAAGTCGACATATCTGATATTTCACCTGGATGACTATTTCTTTTTTTTTATCTTAATATGGAAAACTCTAGATCATGCAATACATTTTACATGAGTTCATGTATATAAACAAAAAGAGTGACAATGTAAGCTGATAATAATTAATACGCATGAAAATCTTTATATATTTAATTAAAAAAAAAAAGGAAACTTCGTTTATAGTCATGTTTCTTGTGCATTATAAACTTTGATCTTTTAGATATAGTACTATTGTTCCAGACGCTATGATTACAAGTGAATAAAAGTGTGTGCTGCTGCATAAATTATATATTTTATCTATCACGAAATCGATTGTCAATAGATTCTATTTGATGCCATCAACAGACATATTAAAGATTGGAAAGAAAAAATTAATTCAAACTGAAAGATTTGCGTTGTTTATATTTCAAATTATTAAAAAACAACAAAAAAAAAGAGAGTAATTTTCAAATATAAATAAAATATTCAGTAATATGATATATAATATTTATCTGCAAAAGGCATATTATCTTTCTTTTTAAATTAATAAGTTTTACTATTCAAGAAAACTATTTCCACTTTCATTTAACACAACAACATTCTTTGACATATAATAAAATGTCCAAAACAAAATAGAAATATAATGAGATCATGATGAAAACAATTTTATAATAAATTTGCGTTTTATCAAAATATTGATGTCATTTTTTTCTTTTGAATAAATAACGATTTTTAAACTATAATGCGAATTTAATGGATCATATGTTTTATTTAATTCATGTATTAATTACGAATATATTATATAATATTTAAAATTGAATTTATTAGCAAGTTGTTTCTTATGATGTCATGTTGACAGCTATGTTTCACTCTAATAGAGCATGTTAAGATTAGTCATCTAAAACTTATTTCATATCGATTTTACGAATAACTATATTTCAATATACGATATGTCATTTGGTTTAAATATAACTGAGAATATATATTTTGAAGTATAATTAAAAAATTAATATTTAATATTTTTTCTAATTTTAAATATTAACTCATATTCTTCATATGTTCATGAGTGTCATATTTAGAAATTATACAATAGTTTAAAAAAACATTTTATTTTGATTCATAAATAAATAAACTCTGTACTCTTAAAATTTTCTTCCGAGATTATACAGACAGACTGAAGATCAAAATTCAGTCAGATCAACGGACAGCAAGTGAACTTTTGAAGTACAAAGGTCTATACATAAATGTATATTTCTATTAGTCAATCAATAGCAATTCGATTGTTTATAAATATCTTTGTAGTTACTAGATCTGATTAATACCAATCAGTTGAAAAAATCTTATAATAATTGAGACAGTAGAATAAACTAATAGTGCAGATGTTCGAGTCCTTGTTTTGTTCATTCTCTTATTAATTAGCGATGACATAGTTCAACTAGTTCACCGGCGAACATTTAATTTTGTTTGTAAAAGAGTGAAGTATATTATCTGCTGTGTTCGGTAATACTTTGTACTTCTTATCTACTTTCCGATATTATATATAATTATTAAAAATAGACATGATAACACTATAATTCAGATATAGTAAAAAGGGGAGAAAACTCAGTCCAAGAAGCACATGACCTTATTTGCGCATCGTTGTATGAATATTATAATGTTGAGAATTTTGATGATACATCTTTTAAGAAGGACAATTATTCTAGCAAACTCATGATAAGATTAATCAATTTATTTCTCTAATAAAATTACTTGTTTACAAAAAAAAATATTCATAAAACACAAATAGGATAATATGCATAATTATCAAAAAAGCGTGCATATGTTTACTAATGAATACAAAAAACTTCATAACAAGCATATAAATAATGAATCTACACATGTGTTCGACCAAGTTTGAAATGTACATCATGATATTTATCAAATGATAATTCACGATGCATTAAATGTTCAGCTTCTTCCTAAAAACAAAAATTTCAAGCATAAATAATTTTTCATAAGAATAATAATAAAAATGTAGTTTAGTTTATATAGCATTAATTAATAGGATAGCAAGAGTTAAAAAATAGAATGGTTATATAATCAATTATCTTTAGAATAACCTTTCGTGGATGTGATCGAAGATATCTTTGATCGTTTTTTATGTATATCAAATAGATTAATCAATGGTTTCTCAAATATATCCTACAAATAATAATCTGTGTATATGTGTGAATATGTCTCAATGTGAATGATTTTTTTTTTCATTTCGATTATTTTTTTCTGGTGAAAAGAAATCAATTTCATTTTTTAATGTTAGAATCAATCGAAAAGAAAAAAAAAGGCTGAATTTAAAGTTTACGGTTGTATTCGATGATGGTGACGTATCCGTAATTACGATTAATGGATTAGATGACTGATCAGAATTACCAATCGGTATAGAATTATGATCTTGTCGTTTTAATACCTATATGAAGGGAAAGATTAATATTACATGCATATTTAAGTTGTATTTCTATTTATAGAGCTGATCTCATGCATTTTTCTTCTTATTAAACCGACCTCAGTTATATTTGATAATTTATTATCTATTATATCATGATTATAACCATTAGATGATATTTGTAGATTATCGGATGACAACTGTTTTATAAGTATATTATTGAAGAAAAAAAATAAGTTTATTTTTATATGTTTTACATACTGATCGTTTTCGAGTATTATTATTTTCCGAATCTTTTTGGATATGAACATTTCGCATAATTGAAACACGACGAACTCGACCAGCATTTTTTCCAGGTAAAATATCATCAAGCCAATAAAGTTCTTCTTGAGTAAAGATTTTATCCATTAATTTACGAACAAAACATGTTGCTAATACCTAGTATATACATAGAGATATATATAGTGTTAATTTAGATTTTATATAAACATACTAATAGTGGAAAACCAATTGCAATTGATTTGATACTTTTTATTGCGAACATACCAACAAGTGCAATTACTTGAATAATAGTAAATAGATGAACACGTGTTATTCTTACATGTCGTAAATAGGGATGATCTGGTTGATGTTTTTGTGGCATAAAAAATAATAAAATACGATCAAAAATCTATAAATTATCAAAAATATACATATGGTAATGTTTGCTTTTTTTCTTATACTGACTTGCATATTACGTAAAGCAGTAACACCCATAAACATAAAAACACCATAGAGAACAGGCATTGGAATATACTAAAAATATTATCAAATAAATTTCTTCCTGATACACTTTTAAAACTAAAAACTATTCAAATTTTAAAACATAGTCGCAATCAATTATATATATTTAGCATAAAAAGAAAGGTTTGAGAATAGACTATAATTCCGGTTTAGTTTATGCCTAGTTACACTTCTTAATGCTAAATTTCTATAAATATTTATGTTATTATTCGGCATGATTATTACGGCTCAATTATTTTTCCTTTCATGATTTTAAAGAACCTTAGTTACATACGCCTAAAATGTGTGTAAAAAATACACTTAAACCAGTTAAAATAGCCATTAACAATGCGCTAACACGTTGTTCACTAAAATAAAATGTAAATCCATATTTAATTTTATAAAAACCCAAAAACACATACAGAATTCCTTCAAATTTTGGTTTTTCTCCTGGTGCAGAATTGTCACTCATAATTTTCAATGCATTCACATGTGTTAATGCCAAAACTGTAGCTGCAACAAACCATGGTAAACCAAGCACTGATTGTATTAGAATTGTGATCGATAAAATAAATAAATCAAGATGATAACCGAGTTTTTTCTATCAAAATATTCAAAAAATGTTAAACACAACAAAAGAAAATTTATTTACTTTTAGTTTAAATTCTTTTCTATTAATAATTACAGCTGTTATTTGTTGATCCATAAATATAAGTATTGTTGCTATTAAAGCTGGAAGGATAGCTACTGGTATTGTCCATAAAGGGTTTTTACCAAAAAATGGTATTATCCATCCACGATCGTGTGGTCGTGTTGGTATAAATTCTGTTGGTACTTGTAATTTCGGTGTATTTAAATGTAAATATGTATCCCATACAGACATTATTACAATAGCAATTAATACAGAAAAATCACCAAGAAATGTTCGAACCTAAAATAAATAATTTTGTACATTATTTTCTTTCTTTTTGTTTTTGCTATTACTTTCGATGGAAAAAATGTACTGTGACGGAATTCTTGTAAAGCCATACATATGAAGAATGTAAAAATAAATAAAAGTACAGAGAAAAAGAAGATATCAGCATGATAAACAGGTGTTGAACAACCCGAACCAATAACAAAACCACCTGCACGTGTACATGCTAATTGTGATGTTTTATTTAAATTCGTTCCATGAAATAAATAATCAACAATATTTGTATCATTTATTGATGTTTCATTATATAGAATATCAGTAAATAAACATGAGCATGAATAATCTAATAAAATATTTGGTCGATAATTAACAGGATAAAGTTTACGAATTTTTAATATTTCACGTATAGCATCATAGATAAATATTAGTGCAACTAATGATGCAAAACAATCTTCAGTAAAACGTGTTATATATTTAACAAGAAAACTTAAATTAAATGTAACAAATATAAGTAATAATAAAAATATCCATATACCAATCCATAAACGAAATTCAAGAAAATTAATATGATAATCTCTGATAATAAATAAAATAAAGTTATTTTTAGAAAAAATTTATTTTTTTAATTGACTAATTTACTTGCACATATGTTCTAATATACGTTCAAGAATTAACATAGGACCCGTAGCAGAAAGTACATTCAATGGTTGTCCACCAAATAAAGCAAATAGAATACCAGCAATAGATGCAGCAAGAATACATTCCATAGTAGCCTTTGATAAAATAAATACGATTAAAATTTAGCCAATTTCAAAAAAATCTAATAGATAGATATTGTTTCTATCCGATTTTGTAAATAAAATCTCTAAAGAGGTTTGTTTTTCATATATCAGTACCCTGACTACGATTAAAACGGTCACAAAAAAATCGAATATCTAATTCTATTTATAGTACTAGATATATTTATTTGTTAGTCTATATAGAGCAGTAGAAGATTAAATCAACACCAGACATGTATCTGTTGCTTCTTTGCTAAGTATTTACTTCTAGTAACATTCTCTATTCTATACTTGCTGTATTTCTCCGACGTAGTTTTGTAATGTTATATAGAATTTAAAGAAATTCTCCTTTTATTTAATTTCATTTTATCGAAGTAAAATAGTTAATCAAGGGTTTTATTCTATTAATAAAATATCATTCTTACCATATAATTTTCTGTTGCTGTTCCAAGCATACCACCAAAAGCAACAACTGAGCAAAGACATACAAGATATAAATAAAGTGTAGCTGCTAAACATTGTAAACTGGCACAATCAGTAAAATCAGATAGATAAAATGGTAATTTATTTCGAATATCCATATAAAGACCATGAAATGGTCTAAAACAAAAATATAAATTTTTTGTTAATAATTGTATATTATATGTTTTATCTTTACCTTTTTGATGCTACTAGATTAGGATCTGTATGAGGAGTTAAATCAATTTCTTCATCTTCACCGATAATCTCTTCTGCTGCTTGTGCTTGTCGTTCTTCCTATAAAATATAGACAAAGACAATGATTAGAGTTTCTGAATTTCGTCAATATATCTGATAGACTGTCGGTTAAGTCAAATGTTCTTATTTACTTTGCTCATATAATTTTGTGGTGGTTCGATACGAATAGTTGGATCCCATTCAGATGGCGGTATAACATATGTATCTTGCATAAATCGATTCATCATTTTTAAAATCTCATCGGAATCTTTTGCTGAATAAGCATATTCTCGACAAATATCATCAGTTAATATTGTTGCCATTGTTCTTCCAATTTGTAATAATTGCTTTTCACTTTCTTCTGGACCAATTAAAACAACAAGAAAACGTGTAGATAATTTTATTTCAAGCATGCCAGATAATTCAACAGCTTTTTGTAAACGAACAAAAACAACTATTTGTTCAGTAACAAAATCAACTGGACAAATAAGTATTGATGCACCTTCAGATTTATCTTGCATTTTTCTTTGTAATTTTTGATTATAATCCTAAGAAAAAATATAGATTTAGAATTTTTTTTTCGATAGTTAAATAAAAATTATTATTCATGCAAAATTAGTAGAAATATTATTTTTCTTTTTTAGTGTCACATTTACATCTCTTTCCGTAGAAATTTTATTCGAACTTTTAAAAAGATTCTTATCAACTTTTAACCAATTCTGAAAAACAAAATTGATTTCAATTTGAATTTTTTCAGTGTTTATTATTACTTTTGATGATGAGGGTGTCATACTAATGGTTTCTTCGCGATCAGCTCGTGCCAAATCGGGAGAACCTGATGGTTTTTCAAGAAGACGTCCTGCTGATGTAACACTTTCATCGTCTTTAAAAAAAAAGAAATAATTTAAAATAAAATAAAATAATTCAATTATCAAACCTCGTCGATTAAGACCAAGATTATTATTAATAATAAAACTTGGACTTGGATGAAGACCTTGTTTTGATAAACTAACTGAACTAGCAGTTTTTGTTACTGAACGTTTTTCATAATGATGAAAATGTGGTAAACCAAGAATGCAAACAAGTTTTTGTGCATATGATGAATTTTCAATATATTTTGAGTCAGCTAACGATTGAACAATCGCTTCTATTATAAAAAAATAGAAACTAATATATTCATTTTTTCTTGCAAGATTTTTTTTACGTGAAACAGTTGCTAAGTCATTAGCTGGAATATCAAGAAGAATAACACCATTTTCAAGAAGACTTTTTAAATCTAATAATGCTGATTGCATTAATGTTGCTACATGAGGTTTTGACCATCGACCAAGAACATTTTCTGCTATTTCTTCAAAACGTACCCAACTAAAGAAAAAGAGGATTTTCGTTTTTTTCCCAACTGATTTGTATTTTTAATAATATATATTACCGAGCCTTTTCTTTCCAATAAGCATAATCAGCATCTTCCGAACGACGAAGTATATCCAATTGACAAAATAATTGTGGAACTTCTTCTTCAGGAGGTAGAATAGGTTCTGGAGGTAACTAAAAAATCGAATTAAATTCATTTTCAATTAATATTATATCTAAGATATCGATGATAAAGTTGTCTTTTAATAAGTTCCTGGATATATGATTCGATATTCAATTAACATTCTAGACGAAAGCTTCTTTAACTTTAATGTGATAGAATATTAAATTCATTGTTCCTTCATTTCATACCAGACGTGTCTGCATAATGTAAGACTTTTATCTTTCAAACTTCTCAAATTTATCATATATGAAAGAAAATTGATGAAAACTAAAATTTAAAAAATTAGGAATTTTTTATCATGAAAGAAAATATCTCTAATTGGAACTTACCTTACCTCTGTCCTGTTGGGAGAATGAGGATGTTGCACCATCGTATCCGTGTCCGAATGACGTCGGTTTATGGAGTCTAATAAGACAAAAAAGAAATTAAATTAACCTTGTACGGAGTTGTTGATAAAATTCTTTTTTGTGTCCTCAAAAATAAATATATTTATAACATACAAATATGAATGACGTTGGGAATGTTCATCATGTTATTAGAAGTAGAAAAATTTTTAGAAATATTGGCAACATGTGTTCATTTTTCTTTTCTTATTTAATTTACTAATGAACTTATTTTATATATATTAAAATAGGGAAAAATAAATAAATAGATTGATATACCTATTTTTAGACTACTTTTTCTCAATAATAACTTTATTAACTTATTGCATTAACCTCTTCGATTAATAAAAAAACCACAAGAAAATCGAATGAAAAATATCGCAAAAAAGAAACAATCTTATATAAAAAAAAATGTATATTATCAAGCAAAAACGTCGGAAAGTGTTCTTTTCTTTATTGAAAGTTTAGTATTAAATCAACGTTTTCTTATCTAAGACATTTTTATTACTTAAGAAAATGTTTTAATTCTATCAAATTGATTCATAAAGAAAGAACAAGAAAAAGTTCTTACCGTACAGTTTCATCGTTATCTAATTTATATGATAATACACACGTCACGCATTAATACTATTTATGATGGATGTCAATAATAGCAAAATATAATAAGTCAAACGATGCTAATATAAAAAAACATTACGATTGTATATAAAAATATATATATGTCATCTGAACATATTATTGAGTACACTTACGGGTACATTCTATAGCTTATTTCTAAAAATTACAATAATAATCTCGAACTTCTAGGTCAAGAGTAAAGCTACGAAATTTATATATCTTACTTAGATGAACAAGAAAAATTGAAGTAAAAATTGATATCTCATCGTCTAATTGTAGACTTTATTGTGTTCGTTTTTTTCGTTGCCTTTAATAATAAAGAAAAAGTTTTGATATGTAATATTTTTATGTAAATATCATACACACAAAACTATGTAAATAATAACAGATTATCAATTACATTCGATCTTTTGCTTTTTCTCAAAGAACAAAAATAATAATTTTTCTTTCAATTAGTTTTCTTCTTTTTTTTTTTAGAAAAAAATCCTCTCACAAAAGTATTTGTAATATATTATTTAGTTTTAGTAGATCAAAGTTATAATTTTTGTATAATAAATTGAAAAATGACTTTTTTAACCTTGACATTTTCAGTTAGACATATAAATAAATTATATACTTGAGAAAAAAAATACTTAATCATCTATAAGCTCTCCAATATGACATATAACGATTTTAAAAACATGACAAATTTTTGTTTTTATTAATACTTATCTTCGATTTCTTTCTCAAAAAAAAGTCTTTAATAACAATGAGCTTAATGTGATCATACTAGTCAGTATCCTTTTAACTACTAACATCGATATAGTATGTTGAAAACAGATTATAAATAATTATATTATAATTAGAATCAAAATTCTTACCATGATGCATGTGTGATTGATCACTGATAGTTGCACCACGTAAACGAGACATATTATAGAATTGATATAGATTCTAAAATAAAAAGTAGGTATAATTTTGTTACAAAATATTTCGAACTATCTATTTATCTTTAGTAAGCGGTTAACATAAAAAAATATATGTATGACTGATACGATTATTTTGATTGAAATATCTTCATTACCTGTGATCACTGATATAAAATTATGAATGATATTGATCATTATACGAAACGAGGGGTTATGTTTGAAAAAAAACGCAGGATTCACAAGCTAAAAGAGAGCAACCATTCGAATAGAAAGGTAATATTCGAAGATATAAAATGATAAACGTATTTTGTCGCACGCTCGGATTCTTTTTGCATATTTTACATAGTTACAACGATACATGTAATAAAAAAAATATTCAAAAAGAAAATAGAATAGAAAGAAGAAAAGAACGAGAAAATCAAAACAAAATCCAATGGAAAATTAGATTCAACCAATTTTGTTTTTAACCTTTAAAATCTTAACACTATCATAAATTATTCTTTATAGATTGTTTTTATATATGTATATATAAGATCGATAATAAAAAAAAGTGTTTTGTTTTTATGCATATTCTATTTAATGATTTTGTTATGTAGGCAGCTAATATTTTAAATGATATGTGTTTTGATAGATAAAATATTAATACAGGTAGGTATTATAGAAACCTATTCGATTGATTAGTGTTACTATTTATATCGTTCGTATATCTATGATTAATGGGTTTCTATAAGATATTGATTTATTATTATTAGATATAAAAAAAAGGATTTTAAATACTTGATGAGTCCATTACAAAAAATCAGGTTATTGAGTCAAATAATCTTCCAAGGTTTTTTTTAAGCTAAGTCATAAAAACTACGTTTTGTATTATAAAAATAATACTGGATACTATTTGTTATTAATGATAACATTTTGTTATACTAGATGTTAACTACAGTATAATCTTTGCTAATAAACATCCTTCCGCTATTATAAACTCTCAAATATAAACATATGGTTTTGATCTCTGTGCTATGATCTAACCGTTGTGTGATTGTTAGAAGAAAAAAATGATATCACAACACGAGTTAGCTTCGCAATAAATATCAATTGAAAAATAATTAATTCCAGAATCTTTCTTTTACATAACAAGATTTGGATCATTTTTACAAATGATATATATACGTTACTAGATTAATAAATATTTCTCTTTAATTATCTCGAATTATTATCAGATTTCTATTTCTAATATTCATCTATAAATTTAGAAAATAAAACACAAGCTAATAAACTAAACTTCATTGTGAATAATTATTATCAAAAAAATGATGTCTTAATTAGTTCTATTAATAATAAAGATAATTTTGAATGTGATATGTCTTATTCATACATTAGTTTAAGAAAATCAATTATGATGTTGTCTTAAAAAAAGTTTATTATTTTACAAAAATTCTTCTAACAGTCATATTGCGCCATCTTTCATTCTAATGTTCGATAATTTATACGAGCACTCCAATCAATCGTGTCTCTTTAATTAAATATTTATTTTATTGATTGAAAAATTGCCGTCAGTCATGGATTAATACAGGATACAATACAAACGATGAATGATACACACATATCATATAAAAAATAAATAAACGAATAAATGTAAAAAAACAAACCATTAATTGGAAAAAATGACGAACTATTTAGACAGTTATAAAAGTATATTTCTTGATATAAAATTACGAGATTTTTTTACAATATTTTCGTTGATACGCAATGAAAAACGTCTTTCATCTTATAACATTTTAAATCAAAATTTAACTCAATTTTGGTTGGACAAAAATCATTTTACAAATCATTTTTATCTACCATTATTATGTGTTCGTACTGGTTTCGATTTATTTTTACGTGTTAATCAATTTCCTGAACAAAGTGAAATAATTATGTCTGCAATAAATATTCCATCTATGATTACACTTGTGCAATATCATAATCTAAAAGTTATACCATGTGATATTAATTTAGATACATTAAAAATCGATATAAATCACGTCAAACGTTTAATAACATCTAAAACTGTTGCTATTGTTTATGCACAAATATATGGAAGATGTGTTGATGTATCGGAATTAATTGATTTAGCATATGAAAAAAATCTTTATTTTATTGAAGATTGTGCAGAAAGTTTTGCAGGATTCTGCTCATGTTCATCGAAAGACAAAACGTAAGACGAATATTTTTATTTATTAGAAAAAAAGAGGAATACTTGATTAAAATGAAGTTTTTTAGAATATAACTAATGAATGACTAAGCACGAGATTAATAGATATCATGTCTTAACAGATCTATATAAATCTTTTTAAACTTACCTTCGTTTTTTTATTTAAGCCCATAAAACATTTTTCTTTCTATAAAAAGAAATGTGACTAGTTATGTTATTACATGATGCTTATGAGATAAGATCTTTTTTTAATCATATCATTTCTCACGACATCATTATTAATTGAAGAAAATTATCCAATAACGACTTTTAGATGACACACATTTTCTAATTATAGGAATACTTTGTCTATTCTTGTTCTTCATTTTCAATAAGATATATCTTATTAAAATTGATATTAAAGAGAATATAAGATACTAATAGAGTTTAATACGTATTTCCTTGCAAATTAAAAATACTCATATAATTCCAGTTTCTTTTTTCAAAAATTTTAAATATATATCAACAATATTAACTAGTCTAAATTGTATTAAAACAAGATTCTAATTTTTTTTCTTTAGTACGAATCTCGATTTGTATTGTCCAACAAGGATTCAGAATAACAGTGAACCGACATGTTATATGGGTCATCCACGTTCTCATATAACTTTATATAGTTTTGGTGTTTTAAAATTCTGTACATCATTAGGTGGTGGCCTTGCTAAAATATCCGATTATAATTTATATAAAAAAATGTCTGAACTCTATGAAAAAGATCCTATTCAAAATACTGAACAATATTATACAAATGTAAAAAAATATTTTTATTTATTTTGGTTATTAAATATTCCATATGTTATTAAACCATTAATGTCTATTATACGTTTATTGAATTTAAATCATATGGAATTTGTTGTGAATCGTTTACGTGCATTTTCAAAGCCTCCACAACCTTCAGAATTATTTCTTTCATTACGTCGTCAACCATGTCGTCCATTATTAGCTTTTCTCTATCATCGATTTCAAACATATGATTATGAACATTTACATAAACAAAAAGAAAATGCTTTCTATGTTATCAATAATTTAAAACAAATATCAACTCTACAATTTATTGGTATGAATTGTCAATTAAAAAATTTTTGGTTATTTCCTATATTAGTTTCTAAACCTGATTTATTTGTTAAAATTTTATCAAAATATCATATTGATGCATATCGTGGTACAACACAATTAAATGTTATTACAAAACAATTACTTGATGCAGATAATTTACCGATAAGTATAGATGATCATCATAAATGTCCAAATGCAGAATATTTAATTGATCATGTTATTTATTTACCTGTACATTGTTATGTACCAAAATATGTTTTAAAACAATTAATTGATATTGTTAATAGAACAGCTCAAGAAATTGAACAATATCATTTAAGATCAAAATTATAATCCACTATTTTTTTATTTTTAAATTCTTCCACATTCTTTTTCTTTTTTTGAAGTGAAGATCATGTTTTTTTTATTATTATTATTATTATTGATCGCTTTGACTATACATATATGGGATTAGAAGAAGGTGCTTTCTTTTTTCAAAATATAAAACATTGCTGTTTAAACTGTGATAAAAATTGTCGAATCTGATAAATTTTTATTGTATAATTTTCCAACTATTTCTTTTGTTTATAATGTATTTTGGGAATATGTTATCTATAAAGAGAATAAACGAGAACGAAAACTTTAATTAATGTTAATATACAATCATGTCTTTATAACATGCAAGCAATACAATGAATGCATGATACTGTATGACCTCTTGGATATACTAATGAAGTAAATGTTAGATTAGATATTATTATAAGTAAACTTTAAGAAAAGGACAATAGACTTATAATGAAATATATGATCTTAATTGTTTTTATTCAAACGTATTGGAGCTGAAACATGCTTACTTTGGAGTTATTATATGTCTTCATTTTGCATCAACTCTAATACCCTCCTCTCCCTCATAATAAAAGGCTCCGGGTCTTCTATTATGATCCGTCAAACTTTTGAAATTTTCATTCATTTCTGCTGACGAAAACATAAAATCAGTATAGAACGATCTCTCCAGGGGATCTTCTATTATGAGGTGGGCGGAGTTTACAATAAACTGATGGAATTGAATAGAATAAATATAATCGATGTACTATGAATGATTTATTTAAACTAGAATGTTATTGCTTTCCGAATAGATTATAATGAGAAAATATTATTTATATATTCACGAACATCTGTCTGGAAATTTTTAATGAAAAATATTAGTTGTATAAAATTGAACTTTTGAATTTGTAATTGAAGTAAATAAATATTTGAAAATGCCGCTAGGTTTTTATTATAAATCGAACTAGATAATATGGAAAAATAGACATAATAAAAGTAAAAGGAATCAATCTATAACCATCACCACAACAAGAGAAAAAATAAAAAAAAGAATAACAAACGATGAGATTAAAATTGTTAATTACCATTTACTTAATTCAGGTATATTTCGATAATAATCAAGACAATTTGGATTAGCTAATGAACCTGTTGCATGCATTGGTTGACCTTCAATTATACGACGAATAGGTACTTCAACTTTTTTCATATTAATTGTATACTAAAATAAAATCAAGGACAATATTGCAATATAATTTTCAATTCTTAAATCTTTTGCGCAGTTTATATGAGTTTAAAAAGTATAAATAATTGATGTTCTTGAATTTTATATTTTTAGAAAGTACTAATTTTGTAGATTAAGAATCTTAACATCACTGTAATAATCAGCTTTTATACATCAACAAAATCTTATGTTAATTATGAAGTATGCACTTTCGTGGATTAATTTTTTAATAGAAATATTCTTAAGTATTTTAATTATTTACTAATTTCAAGACATGCCAGAAGCAGATTTCTAAATTTTTGCATTATTTATCTAATATAATTTTTAAAGAAAGTTTTACTCAACTGATTAATTAATAGTAAATAACTATCATATACATCAATGTGAAAATATGTACTCATTTTTTTTTCTAATAAAATCTTGATAAATTTATCTCTAACTTCAATCATTAATAAAATTAGGTTATATGAATAAATAACTATGCATTAAGGGAATAAAAATGAAATATAACTATTTTCACTTGAGAGAATTATTTAGAATATTATATTTACCGGAATTTCTGGAACTTGTATAATAATTTCTGGAACATGTCTTGCTGACAATTGTTGTCGTATAGCTGTTTTAATTCGATCAACAAGTGATTTTTCCAAATGATCGACGTCGTTTGGTAACTAAAATTCAAAAAAAACATTAAAGAAATTAATCAATTATAGTATAATTAATTCTCTGTTTGTAATATTTATTTCATTAGTTAAGTACACATAACACCCACATATTTTATGTCAAAATGATTGTCTTATTCGCGTTTACTAGTCATTTCATGTCGCATTGATGACTTACACTAATTGGAATTGAAAGAACAAGTGACTGTCAAAAATATATAGATAATTCATTTTCTTTTTTTTGTAGTAGAATATAACTTGATTCTTTTTGGCAAAGTGAAACCATTTTTTCAATTATAAAATCAAAGTATATCTTATACTGAAACGATGGTAATCATGACGTTTTTAAAACGGTAAATGTATTTTCTTGATATATATATATATCGCTAGAAGTTTTGCCCAGAAGAAATAGTCAGAATTTGAAAAAACTTTGTCATAATCTATATTTATTAAAACATTTTAAATTTATCGAATCACTTTTATTGCGAAGTTTTTTTAGTAGAATAAGTATACTAATTAAATTTCTGTTTTTTTCATTATGAAGATTATATAGTTAATAAAGCACAGATTTTGTATTTATATTTTTTAAGAAATAACTTTTTTGACTTCAACATGTCATTTAGTAATTTTCTATTCAAGAATTTATTTCTCATATCTATATTAGCATAAAAAACTCGTTAACCATTATATCCATTGATCTTGAAGGTTTGTTGTTTGGTTGGTTTATGTCTGTTAGGAAATGCAAGCAAACAATTATCGTTGATCTTAACAGTCAATTACTTTTTTTTCTATATTATATGAAAATATCATCATTTTTCTCATGTTTTTTGTTACTAAAATAGAACTATAAGTCTCTTACTGAATATACCTTTTACTATCAATTAGTAATGATAAACGCATAGTATCCACTCGAATAACAAATAAATCTATGTAAAAATGATTAGGTTTTCTAAATTGAGCGAGAATAGCTTCAAGCTATATCTACATTTCTTGTTCTCTCTATAGTAGTGTAACAATAAAAAAAAAAGAGAAAATCAATGAGCATTTTGTAATTATTTACTTCGACATTTAGTTTCGTATTAACGTCATGTTATTTTTTTCTATTCTACATAAAATCAAGCAGAATAAGTGCAATTAAGTCTTGTTTAGTTATGTTTATTCATGCTTGATTCTATTCGTATTGAACAACATTTAAAGTTTATAGTTTCTTTTTTCTCTTATTTTTTTTCTCTCTAAACCAATCATCGAAGCAATTCTCTGTCTCTCTCTTAACACTTCCGTCTGATTAACTACACTATAAAACTTTCTGTCTCAATGAGACAACAAATTTTTAATTGGATAGTATAGAAGAAAGTTAGTTTTTTAATCGATATATTATTTCTGATAAGTAAACCGTAAGAATAAATCTAGATAGTTGTTTCTTTTTTTTTAATAATAAGTACTATTTTCTCTAGAATACATGATAAATATTTATTTAATATGCTAATGATCTAGTCAATATTTTAGCTAGAAAATAATATAATTACTTCTAATTAATTATTTGAATTAGAAAGATATTATGTAAAAATTATTCTACATTTGATTTATATACATATATATTGTTCTAGGAAATCTATGATTAAATTCTAAAATATAACTCCAGAAGGAATAGTCTTTAGTACTCAGTTGCCTTTTTGTAATAGAGGTACGGATTTGGAAGAATGATTCGTATCGGATCTGTAAGTTTTGGATTTAATATACATGTTTCTCATAATAATAGAGACTATTCAATCATATTTTTTTCTTATTTAGAAAAAAAACATGAGAATTTTTCAATACATAAATATATAACAATCAATCATTAGAATTTATTTATCATTTATTCGTTTTTTT